TATTTGGTTTTTCGAGACAGGGTTTCTCTCTGTAGCTTTGCGCCTTTCCTGGAACTCACTTGGTAGCCCAGGCTGGCCTCCAACTCACGGAGATCCACCTGCCTCTGCCTCCCGAGTGGGATTAAAGGTGTGCGCCACCACCGCCCGGCTAATACTGTATTTTTCTAATCACCAGTTCTGTTTCTGAGCACCATCTACAAGGGTTTATCTATCTGTGATAGTATACCTGTCAGTTAACTTGTCGGGACTAGGCAGAATCAAGCAGACTGACCCACATTGAACATAGGCTAACATTCACGCTGGTATTTTTTAAATTAATACAACTGACACTTCCATGTTAGTTATTAGAAATAGGAGTTAATTACTTCAATCATATAAAAATAGTATTTGAGGTCTGGAGAGATTGCTTAGTGGTTAACATCATTTACTGTTCTTTCAGAGGACCTGAGTTTGGTTCCCAGCACCCATGCCAGGTGCTGCACAATCACCTGTAACTCCAGCTCTAGGCATCTGATGCTGCCTTCTGGCATCTGTGCACAACTGCACGTGTGGCATATAGTCACACACACACACACACACACACACACACACACATTAAAATAAATCTTCTTTTTAAAAAAAAGATAGTATTTGGATAGAGTCTTAGTTCCTTCAGGCTGCTGTGACATGACTTACCAAGAACAGAAATTTGCTAATCTTCATTTTGAAGGCTGAGAGGTCCAAGATTAAGACACTAGAAAATTAGGTATCTGGTGAGGGTCTGCTTCCTGTTCATAGTTGGTGGTCTTTAGGTGTGTCCCCGTGTATCACAGTGGCAAGAGCTCTGCCCTCAAGACCTAGTCACTTTCTGAAGTCACTACCTCTGGACATTGTCACATATGAATTTGTAGAAGGGGAGACACAGATATATTATATATCTGATAATCAAACCCAATTTCAATAGAAGGTTATAAAGTTCGTTTTCAACATATTTTAATTCACAAAGATGGCTAAATTCCTTGATGGCTTTTCAACTTGGGTAGACAGCAGTGCTATCCACACTTGAGAACTTCTGGTGGATCTTTGCCAACATTAAGGTACCTAGCAATTTAACAGCCTGTGGTTATCCCAATGAGGATCAGGCCCTCCCCAGTTATTATGTGCTACAGGAATTTTTGCTTCCTGATAATCTGAAAAGAGATATAACGTTCTGTTGGCTTGGAATCTGGGGTAAGGGAGTAGATAAGAGCAGTAATGGTATTCGAACTGGGCTCCCCCTCCCCAGCACGTTAGAACTCAGTGTTGGTTATCAGAGCCTGTTTTGGGTTTCTTGCTGAGCTGCCTTGTGCCACAGGTGATATTCTTAAACATTGACACATTGCTGTTCCAGCAGTGAGCCACTGCTGTTCCCTCCTTCTTACTTAATGTTCCTCCTGCATATTTTGGTCATAAAATCAGGCAAAATCGCCTTTCTCATCACCACACTTACATTATTTGTCCTGCCTTTAATCTCTTAGCAATAGTGGGAAGATGTAGGGAGGAGAATGACTAGCTCCCCTTTGTCAGTTTTCACCCATGTCCCTTCTGGTTTGTATCTAGGAAATACCCTTAACTTGGTAGGGTGATGTCAGAGATCAACTGAGATCATGGAACTTCTTACTCTTGACCAAAATTTTACTTTGCTCTATAAATGTTAATGTGTATTCATAATTTAAAATAGTGTCATTTATATAACACTAAACTGTTGAATTGTCTACTCTAGGTTCACATAATTGTTGCTGTATATAATTAATGGGCAAATGCAGGACAATGCTTTTTATACACGTAATACTATTTCTGTTAGGACTGTATATGAACTCAATCCTCATACCTAATGTTTTACTGGAGTGTGTGTTTAATCATTTTCTGACAGTATATAATCATTGACTTGGGAGTTCTTTTTATTTTAGATACCACAGTATCAATAAGCAGCTTTACTGGACTTTTTACCTCAAGAATCTGATGAAAGGAAGAAAATACTTGTTGATCCATTTTTTTTATTATGTATTTATTTTATCTTTGATTTCTGTCTATTATTACTAACTGAGCCGCTATTCTAAACAGGAGTGAAGGGCTGGAGGAAGAGTGGAGGATGACAGCCAGATTCTCTTGTTATTGCTTGGGTTCCCTTAACTCAAGAGTCAGGAGTGTGAGAGAGTTAGACTGGAGAACTGTGGAGACAAAGCTCTGCATGAGCTAATGTGATTAAGGATTAAAGGTCAACGGTGAAACTGTGACTCTCCTCAGAGCAGGCCAGCTAGGCCAGAGGGCTCCTGTTCTATCAGCATTTGCTGACTCTGGTTCTGAGGTAGGACCTTCAAGATATCAAGAAAAAAGATAGTCATCATCCTTGTTCTTGGAGTGATAAGTTTATCAGGGGCTATGGTTATGTACATACACAACCCACAGAGATAGAGTATGTCAAGGACTGCTGGAACATTCCAGAAGAAAATGTTCCAGAGCTCAGAGAAGGAACAAATCATTTAGAGAGATGCTTCTCCAAGTGAGTTTCCAGCCCCTGATTGTCTCAAGTTTTAAACAGATGGCCTTGTGTTTTCTTAGGATGCAAATCTGGCTCCTGTTATCCTAAATATATTTATTTGCTCTTTCTCCTTTGATGTAACCAGTCTCCTGACCTTATCAGCTACTTGACCCAAATCTTCTTAGGATTCAGTCCTGGCCCTGCCAGCTTCTTCACAGCATTAAATAAATAAGAGAGCTGTGGACCAAGAAATTAAAATCTCAATGGTGCTAATTACTTGTTAGAGTCCTTTATTGAATCTTCAAGCCCAGGGCTGTCTACTTATAAAACTGCACCAATGAAGACACTCAAGTAAAGAGGCTCTTGGGTAATGAGATGAAGAGCTAAGCAGGTACAAGTGAAGATCTGGAGTGTGAGTCAACGCCCAGGGATGTGACCTCCATGAGAAACATGGGGACCAAGGGGAGAGGCAGCCAAATGAAGGCCATGCTGAAAGGATTCTTCAAACACGGTTAAGGTTCAAGGACCATTCACCTACCATTTCCAACATCACAAACACCCTTCTGTGTTTTGCTCTGTTCTGAGAACTTTTTGTTTTTTCTGAGACAGGCTTCCTCTCTGTAACAGCCTTGGCCATCCTGAACTTGCTTTGTAGACCAGGCTGGCCTCATAATCATAGAGATCTGCCTGCCTCTGCCTCCTGAGTGCTGGGATTAAAGGTGTGCGCCACCATGCCCAGCTCCCTTTTCATTTCGTTTAGTGTGTATGTGTGTGTGTGTGTGTGTGTGTGTGTGTGTGTGTGTGTGTGTGAACACAACTTGTGAGAGTCAGGTCTTTCTGTGTTGGATTTGTCAGGCTTGGTAGCAAGCACCTTTACATCCTGAACCACCTTCCCATCCCCCTTCTCTGCTGTGTTAAGAACACATGGCATTAAGGCATAAAAATATCACTCGCTCTATTTCTGAAGAGGGAAATATTGCTTCTGAGCAGCTTCTGAAATTGCAGTCCTAGGAGATGGATGATACTGTCTTCTGTTTCAGTGCTGACTCCATTTCCTGGTCCAGACGATCAAAATCTGTGCATGCGTTAGAGAACAGCATGAGGTCCATCTGTTCAGGTCAGGTTTCCCACATTAACATGAAGATTTATGGAGTGGTAACTTATGTAAGAAAAGCCAATGGTAATGATGTTATATTCTTTGCTGCCATTTGGAATCTACATTATATTTTTAGTTCGTCGTGAAAATACCATAATATACACACACACACACACATGAATACACTGGATTCTTTCAAAAGCAGTAACAAAGGCATCTTCCTCAGTTTGTAGTCATTTACCTCTGTTTTGGTTTGAGCACTAGACACCATCCATTCATATTTTCCCTGTAAAGTGGTCTGTTTATCCACAACTTTCCTCCCACAGATGGCACAGATATACAAGAACTACGCTTGGCTTCTTGGGTGACTCGTCAGACTAAACTACAGAGTAATGATTTGTTTTTTCTTCTTAAGAAAGTAGGTTAAACTTTTTTAGATTTTAAATAGATATTTATACAGAAAAATAAAAAATCTGTAAGTACATATGCATGCATATGAATTATCTTATATAAACAGAACCATACCATGAATATTCTTTAGGGGTCTTTTTTGGGGGGGGGACAAAATCTCATATATCTCAGGCAGGCTTCAAACTTTCTATGTAGTCAAGGAGGCACTGAACTCCCCTACTCCTGCTTTTACCTTTAGAATGCTACCATTTCTATTTTATATAGTACTGAGTGAGCATCAAACCCAAGGCTTCGTACATGCTGGGCAAACACTCTTCCAACTACAACCCCATCCCATGAATGCACTTCTATAAATTTCTTTTAACTCAGTAATATAACATATATTTTCTTATATTATTATATACACATATAGTATCCTTTTGAATGACTATATATTACCTTGATGTTTTCCTTTAGTCCCTCCCCATTAGGTATTTAGGTTATTTCTAATTTTTCATCCTATAAAGAGAGCCAGGGTAACTACCCTTATATGTAGCTAGAGTTCTTCTCTCTGGGTGCCGCCAAGCCCCGGCAGTCCCGTAGCCCACTTATAAAATAAACATACAGATGCTTATATTATTTAAACTGCTCGGCCATTAGCTCAGGCCTACCATTGTCTAGCTCTTACTCTTTTTTTAAAAAAATTTATTTATTATGTATACAGTGTTCTGTCTGCATATACACCTGCAGGTCAGAAGAGGGCACCAAATCTCATTATGGATGGTTGTGAGCCACCATGTGGTTGCTGGGAATTGAACTCAGGACCTCTGGAAGAGCAGCCAGTGCTCTTAACCTCTGAGCCATCTCTCTAGCCCCCTGCTCTTACTCTTATACTCAGCCCATTTCTGTTAATCTATATGTCACCACGTATTCCATGGCTTTACCTGCTGCCTTTACATGATGCTCCCTGGATGGCAGGCTGGCATCTCCTCCAGACTTCCATCTCTGACTTCCACCTCCCAGCCTCTTCTCTCTGTTTGTCCCGCCTATCCCATACTTCCTGCCTGGTTACTGGCCAATCAGCGTTTTATTTATTCACAACATACAGGACAACCCACAGCACTTATGTGTGCATTTTATGTGCCTTACTGATTATCTCCTTAGGTTCTATTATTAGAAATGGCATGGCTGGGAGAACTCATACACATAAACTTTTGATACATATTGCTAACTAACTTTTGATGAGATGGACTAACGCTTGTCGTTAATGTACAGATTCCTTGGCAATGACAGGAACTTAAGTCTCTTCACCTTTGCAGTGTGTGTGTGTGTGTGTGTGTGTGTGTGTGTGTGTTCACGTGTGTTCTAAAGACATTAATGGAATGTGGTGATGTTAATATGTCTATGTGTACTGTGTTGCCTCCCAGGTATTGTATATGTGACTTATAGTTTGGTCTGATACAAGGAGGCATCTAATGATCATTTTTTAATGGTCTTATCTTTGGGATTTTACTGAAATATATATATAGTGTATGGAAAGAGGTGACTGAATTGTAACTTTACTAATTGTAACATCAGTCTGTTATGTGAAGAATTAGTTATGATCAAAACAAATCAAATCTGTAGTATTTCCAGACATTGACCTGGAGTGGAGTTTGGGGATTCAGGTTTGGTGCTTACACAGACAAACAGCAGGAAGAGCAGGGTGATGGGAGCAGGTGGTGCCTGTAGTGTTTTGGGGATCTGAGAGCAGACTTGCCTGGGGTGTTCCTTTTTTGTTCAGAGATTCTTGCATATCTGAGATGGTTGGAAGCCTTCTTTGAACTCAGCTGGGATGTTCGATACTCTTTCACAAGACAGGTGAATAACAAGCAGCGAAGAAGGACATCAACAACCAAGATTTGTTTTACACTTAAATAGCATGAAATCAATACAATAAACCAATGATTTAACCATGTAGATACATATAAAAAGATCACAAAATAAAAAAATATCATCTTAGCTGGGCATAGTGGCGCACATCTTTAATCCCAGCACTCAGGAAGCAGAGGCAGGCAGATCTCTGTGAGTTGAGGCCAGCCTGGTCTAATAGTAAGTTCCACGGTGAAACTCTGTTTTATTCTTGCCCTCCTTTCTAGCCATGCCCCCTTTGTCCTTAATAATCACCAGCAGGCTGAATTTAAAGGTGCGGATTTGACTGAAAATTGATTTTGCTTCAATTTTTTTTTTTTCAGGCAGGAGGAAAATAAGTGTTAGATGATAACTATGTGTCATCTGAGAGTGGCATATTTTATGTAAATTGATAAAAACGACTCTTCAGAGATTAGAAAGGCCCTTTGCTGGAAGGAAGATGTGCTGATTATAAGTTGTGAAAGTTGGGTTATGGGGCTGTAGCTCGGAGTCGAGCATTTGCTTGTCATGCATGAGGCCCAGCTTTGATCTCTAGAACCAAAGAATAAAAAGGTTAATAACATAAATGGTAAAAATCTTGCATTCTAGCATGCTCTCAGCTGCCAGCCAACACACTCATTAGTGTGCCAGAATGGATTTTAAAGTGTCACAACATAATTGCTCTGTTCCAAACCAGGCATCATCACCTTCACACAAGCCAAATCTGTCTCCTTGTTTGAAAACTGCTGCATACAGCCAAAAAAAAAACTTTTTAGGAAAAAAACCAAAAAACAAAACAACAACAAAACCTCTTATTTTCAAAACCTAGTGTTGCTAGGTGTGGTGGCTCATGCTTTCAATCTCATCCCTCTGGAGGCAGAGGCAGGTGGATCTGGAGTTTCAGGACAGCCTGGTCTACATATTGAGTTCCAGGACAGCTAGGGCTATATAGTGAGACCCTGTCTCAAAGGATAAAATGAAACAAAACAAAAAACAAACCCCCGAAAAGCCTGGTAGGCATGGCTTATTACACTTCCTTCAGTCATTAACCATCACTGAGTGGTGAGGAGCCCTGCCTCCTCTTAAAGCAGCCTGTGTGATTAGAGCAAACTGGATGGCTGGCCTGGCTCTGATCAGACTGTCAGTTCCCCTCCCCACTCCCCTTGCCAGCCTTCTGCTCTCTTCCCCTCAAGTCTTCCCTTCTCCTGTCTGTGCAGCGGTTGCCTCGCAGTTTCTGCACAGCTCACAGCTCACTCCCAGCGATCTCCTGACTTTGGGCTCTAGAACTGTCAGGTGAGTCTCCAGCCCAACTTTTGAGTAGCTTCCCTGTTCAGTGGTCGTCTCACTCTCTACACCCAAGCCCTCCCAGGCCTCTCTTTGTACCTCCTCTTATTTGCAAATCCCATAAGAATAATTTTTATCCCTTCCACA